CCCCCCCCCCCCCCCCCCCCCCCCCCCTCCCCCCCCCCCCCCCCCCCCCCCCCTCCCCCCCCCCCCCCCCCCCCCCCCCCCCCCCCTCCCCCCCCCCCCCCCCTCCCCCCCCCCCCCCCCCCCCCCCCCCCCTCCCCCCCCCCCCCCCCCCTCCCCCCCCCCCCCCCCCTCCCCCCCCCCCCCCCCCCCCCCCCCCCCCCCCCCCCCCCCCCCCCCCCCCCCCCCCCCCCCCCCCCCCCCCCCTCCCCCCCCCCCCCCCCCCCCCCCCCCCCTCCCCCCCCCCCCCCCCCCCCCCCTCCCCCCCCCCCCCCCCCCCCCCCCCCCCCCCTCCCCCCCCCCCCCCCCCCCCCTCCCCCCCCCCCCCCCCCCCCCCCCCCCCCCCCCCCCCCCCCCCCCCCCCCCCCCCCCCCTCCTGCTCTCCACCTCCTGCTCCCCACCTCCTCCTCCCCGCCTCCTGCTCCCCACCTCCTGCTCTCCACCTCCTCCTCCCCACCTCCTCCTCCCCACCTCCTGCTCCCCACCTCCTGCTCTCCACCTCCTCCTCCCCACCTCCTGCTCCCCACCTCCTCCTCCCCCGCCTCCTCCTCCCCACCTCCTGCTCTCCACCTCCTCCTCCCCACCTCCTCCTCCCCGCCTCCTGCTCCCCACCTCCTCCTCCCCACTCAATGGAAACTAAAGGCAGGTTTGACGCTGCTGATCTAACAATAATCTGGTTTAATGTCGGGATCATGATGGGGTCAGAGGTCATCTGAGCCTGAAGCGGACCCTCTGAACCGGGCGGGTCCAGATGGGCCCCTGGGGGCCGCTGTCCTGCTGGTTTCTCTGCTCCAGCAGCAGATTCTGATGATTGTATCTAAAACCTATTGATCATCTATCAATGGAAACCAGCTGAAACCAGCGGGACAGCGGCCCCCAGGGGCCCATCTGGACCCGCCTGGTTCAGAGGGTCCGCTTCAGGCTCAGATGACCTCTGACCCCATGAAACATAAACCAGAGTTTTGGAGCATTTCTGTGATTTAAAGAGAAACTTTGATGTTAGTAGAAGCGAACCGAACAGAACCCACTCTGGTCCAGTTGATCTAGAAATAGAAACTAGATCAAACAGCAGGTCAGCCTCTCTAGATGCAGCGTTTCTAGATGCTGCTGCTGCTGCTGGAAGCTTCTCCTGTCAGCAGGAAGCAGCCAGCGGCTCCAGGAGTTCTGCTTCCAGCTTTCCACGATCCTCCAGGCGGGACACGTCACTCAGCCACGCTGTCACGGAGAGTCACGCAGCTTTTCCACTGCGGCTCATTTAAAGCAACAGGATCCACATTCAGCGGAGGACCGGAACCAGAACCGGTTCTGGTTCCGGTCCGCCCAGCGCTCCAAACACTAACTTCTCTCTGAACTTTTATTTGAAGCGCAGCGGCGAACTTACCTTTGAAGTGGACCCGGTGTTCACGCGCTCAGCAGGGATCAAAGTTTCAGAGTCGGCGCGAGGATCGGGGGACCTTTAGCGTGGATGACGTCATAAGGGAAAAGACTTTAGGAAAATAATCTGAGGCAGAAACAGACCAACAGCGAGAAGACCGGACCGAGGGAGGGGGGAGGCACCTATGTGACGTCACTGCCCACACCTGTAGAGCCCGGGAGATCACGTGGTTAAATCTCAGCCTACAGTGACATGCGCAGTTCTGACAGCTGTCAGCTTTTCTATTTGACGTTTTCTGGATAGAATCGATTTTTCAGATGTTTGATTTTTGATCTGATTCTAATTAAAGTTCTGACAGAATCTGGCGCGTGACTGCGGCTCATTTAGGCTAACCTGGAAACAATAAGTTCAGCTTCTACTGGTTGTTTTTCTATGAACGGACTGAAGCTCCAATCATGAAAATGATCAATCAGTGATTTAAGCTCTGGAGTTTGGGAAGCAGATTTAAACTTTTCATCCAGATTTAATCTGAGCTTTAAAACCGGAAGAAGGTTTATGGAAAACCGGATTAATTGATCATCTCCCAGAAGGAAGACAAACACTAAAACAGCAACACAGATCCAAATAAAATATAAAAATATAAAGTTATCTGCAAAGTCTGTTAATAAATAAATAAATTAAAATGTATTTTTTTGGAAATTGGAACTTAATATACGGCAAATCAAACAGGATCAATAAACAAATAAAACCAACTGATCCGATTAAAAGTCCAACAACAGGAGTAAAAACTTAAAAATAAAACCTTCTCTCAGTTATTCATAATTATTGATCAGTCTTTATAGAAATAACAGGAACAAATGAATGAGATTAATGAAGTAAAGAAGCAATTCTCCACTTTAGCATAAAACTCGCTGTAAATAAGGGGAGTGGAGGCCTAGCGGTCAGGGCATAGAGCTATGAATCCAGATGTTCTCAGCCCCACTCCCACAGCCTGCCCTCTGGGTCCCTGAGCCAGACCCTAACCCCACCCTGCTCCCCGGGCGCACCATGGCAGCCCTCTGCTCCCCCAGGGTTAAACGCAGAGAGGGAATTTCACAATAAAGTTCAATTATTATTAATTATTTACTAAGCTTGACCTCTAAATATGTTCAACAGAAATAAAGTTAGTGTTTAAAATAAAGGAATCGGATTTCGGCCTAAATCTTAACTGTCTGATAAATGTAATGATTTATTGCCCACATGGTTATTAAAATTAGAAAATAAAAATAGTTTTAGAATTTTCAGAATAAAAGTCAAAACTGTATAAGAATAATTTTGATTGAAAACTCTCAGTAAAAACAGCAACTAGAGAAAATCAGTCAGATTCAGAGTTCCTTTTAGCTGAGCTAAGCCGCCGCTGGGGAAGGGTTGCTAGTTAGAATCCGAAGATTACCTTTAAAAACCGTCAGATTTTTAGTTACTGTGTTTCTATCAGAGCTCCTGTTATTTTATGCTGATTGTTTATTCTGTTAAAAGTCCATCTGTTTCTTTAGTACCACATTACCCATGATGCATCTGTTCATCTTGTAGTTCTAATTTTACGTAGCTGAATAAGTTGTGTTTTCCATGCTTCTGGGTGGTTCGGTGGCACAAAATAGCATCCACCATTAATCCTACTTCAATCCAGTGTGTATGAAACCTGTGTGCGTTCTTTACGATGTAAGTATACATTTTAAGTCCGATATTGTGTTTTTTCTGTCAGTTATTAACCCAGGAGGTTAAATTGTTCTTTAGTTTCTCTGGTTACTGACAATGCAAGAATATACTTATAATAACTCAAGTTCTTTGTTACACTTTGCTAGATATATTTCCATTTTATTAGTAAATGAGGGCATCGCCATTTATTTCATATTTTCCGACGGTTTTGTCAGTTAAATGCTTATTACGTTTGATCAATAATGCATGTGTGATGTGATGGCGACCTCCAGTGGATTTATTTGGTATTACAAGCCAATTTCATCCTTCATCTATATGCACATGTTTTGCCTGCATATCTATAAATATGCATATTTATTGTTTATTCTGTTTCAGATAACCACACATCCATATACATATCCCTAAGAAAAGCAAATATAAACCTCATCACTGTACCATCATCTCCAATGTACCTGCTTCTATTCCATTAATAAACCTTTTGAGCTGCACCGATGGAGTTGGCATATTCCTTCTGACCGAGGAAGATTCAACTGATGAGATATCTGGAACTAGTGCATCTAAACGCACACAGTCTTCTACATATTCTATGGCTGTGATCTAAATGTTTCCTTTAGGATATTAAAGGCAGATTAAACCTTGAAAGTGATATTTTTTTTTTATCCAAATCTATTTGCAGGCTGATCATGTGCCTGATGATCTGGGTCGTCAGGCAGGACAGTCCTCATGTCAGTCTGTCCTGGAAAGCAGACTGATTGTTGCTGCAGTCCTGCTCTTATCTATTCCTGTCTGAAGGACAAAGAGTCACCAGTAAAGCAGTTCACTACATTAATGCACTATTACTTCCATAAAGGAAGAAACCAAGAATAACTGATTTATCATTGGCTTTATTAACATTGTCCAACGCCTTTTACCAACAAAACAGGAAACAATAAAACTGAAGGAAAATATAAATTCAGTTGTTGAAGAAAACCCTAATTTTGAAAGATAAGACAAATTATAATAATGGAGATAGAAAAATAGAGACAGGCCATCATTAAAAATCAGTGATAATATAAAAAGTTCCCATAAAACCTCCATTAGTTAAAAGAATCTAAAGTTTAGATTCTAAAGCTTGTGTCCCTTCAGCTAGTATCTCCACTGTCCACCAGAGGGCAGCAGTTATCCCCCACAGTTATTTCTAACTAATTAACCTTCCTAAAACTTAGTTTTTTTTTCACCGGAAGTCATTAATATTTTAGACCAGAAAAATGAAAGATAAAGAAAAATGAGTGAAATTTTCACAAAAAGTCAGATTATAACATCAACCAAAATAAACCAAAATGCTTTTTCACTTTAAAGCAGTTTATTGGAAGATTCCACCAATAGAAAATCAAGATGTTTTAAAAAGTACAAACTACAGAATATAAACTCTAAGATATGTTTAAATTGTTTAAAAAAATAACCCAAGTATATCATTGATAGCCAATATTAGAATAACAATACATAGAATTGAACAAAATGTGATTTTAGAAAACTTACTGTCAATAATAAGTTTTATATAATTTTCACTCTGAGTTTAGGAAATAAAATAAACAGGAACAATTTTTAATCCTGTTTAACATCCTGGGTGACGGAGAAGAAAAACCTTTCTGTTCAGAAAAGTTTTGGATTGTATCAAAATAATACCTAATTTTAAAAAGTGAATCTTTTCATTCAGGCACTTAAAGTTAATGTTCTTATTTCAGCATTTAAATTAATTTATTTTGTGAAAGTTTTAATAACAATAAATGAAGAATATAAAGAAAAACAGTTAAAGAAAATGGGATAAAATATGAAAATAGATCCTTTAACAGATAATACAGCGACAGGGTTAGATTAAAAGACACTTTTAAGAGTTTACACTTTAAGAAGTTTC